TTTCTGAACATTATGTATAACTGCTTAGTCCTTTAATAGAACCAAAAGCTCAAATGGGTAAGGTAAAATTTACAATAAATATACAACATATTAAAGAACACACAAACTTAAAATGCAAACCATGCTGTAAGCAAAATAATTTAAGCAAATCAAATGCCAAAGCATCCAACATGCACCAAAAGTGGTTTACAAAGCAACACAGCAGTGTTTTTTCAAAAAGAAACAAATTCATATGGCCAAGTTATATAGTTATAAAAATTGACATTCAAAACTGAAAAATGAATGTTAAGCTTTCTCAAGTTAAGCTCTTTAGAAATAGCAAAGAGCATAACTTTTAATTTAGTAGATTTTAATTAACCAGTCTTCTTAAATAGAAATTTTAATTGTAAAAGGACTTTTTAATTATTTCTAAATATGTATGTCTTATGTAAAACCCATAAAGGCATTTGAGTATAATCTTGTAATTTAGCATTTAAAAGTAATTACTGCAACATATGCATTATGTAGAAAAGAAATTTCTACTTAAATTTTATAAAAACAAATATCGTAATAGAAATTGGAGACTTAAAATGAAAGAGGTCAGGAGAAAGGTGAAGGACAAAAAAATTGCCTATTGCGTACAATGTACACTATTCAGGTGATGGGTAAACCAAAAGCCCAGACTTCATCACTATACAATTTATCCAGGTAACCAAAAACTACTTGTACCCCTAAAACTATCGACTTTTTTTAATCAAATAATTAAGTAAATAAAAGAACTAGAACTGTCACCTTGTTAACCTTCCAGGGAACTTATCATGCGACCTGGGACTTCACTGCAACCTGTTAACTAGAAGCAACAAATGAATTCCAGACTGGTGGGGGCCAGTGGTATAACAGCTGAGGACAGGAGCTGGCCAGTAGCAATCATGAAGAAAACTATAGTATTCAATTAATTATCACCTTTACTAACAACCACATTAATGTACTATCCCCATTAACTGTTTAACTCTGACTTAAGTAATAGTAAATACTAGAGCCACAATAACTGTACCTTTTAGTACAATTGTATTTCATGGTCGTTTTTTTTTAAAAGGATAATCAGGTATACTACTGATCTGTGATCTTACACATATAACTGTGTACTTTAACAATTATATATACTAGTAAAATTATATTCCTTTCCTTCTTTTATGCCTATAGAAGATAAAGAAAATAATTACTATATAGAATGATATTCTTTTTTTAAAGGCTAAGATATTAAAACAACAGTACAACTTCAAAAAAATCTTGTGCTTTGGCTGGGCGCAGTGGCTCACGCCTATAATCCCAGCACTTTGGGAGGCCAAGGTGGGTGGATCACAAGGTCAGGAGTTTGAGACCAGCCTGGCCAACATGGTAAAACCCCGTCTTTAAGAAAAATAAATAAATAAATTTTGTGCTTTTACTTATAGAGATAGTAGCATATAACTTTTTGTTTAAAAAAATCATATAGCTATGGATGATACTGTAGAGAGAAAGCCTAAGACAAGCTAGAATAAAATAATTTATCTTGGAACATCATAAGTGGTAGCTCTGTGAACAGTCTACACAGATTCGCAAAAGATACTCATTTTAAAATAAAATTGTTCCGTATCTAGAAAGCAGTAGAGGCTTTTCAGTGTATGATGTATTACCTTCTTCCCTTTCAATCATTCCCTGAATAAGAATTCTTTCACAGAATGTTGAAGCTGAAAGAATTCTTAGAGACCATTTGCTAGTAGTTCTCAACATGAAGTGGTCCCTCCCCCAGAAGAGGTTTACATATGCAGGGTTGTTTTGGATATAACAATGACTGGGAAATTCTACCATCCTCATTAAGGATTCTAAACTTTCTACAATGCACAATAGAGTCCTTTGTAATGAAGAGTTATCCAACCCAAATACCAGAAGCACACCCACTGTGAAATACTGACTTAATTCTCCACTTTGAAGATTAGTCACCTAGGCCCAGAGAAGTTAATTGACTTACTCAAAGACACACAGCTAAGTCCAGAACTGAGATTCTCATTTTCCCACTCTACTTTTCATTCGATTAATAAATTCTCAATAGAAAAACATGGAAGAACCAAAAATCAATCATATATGCATATATAAAACATTGTCAACACTGGTCATTCATTAGTATTTGAAATTGAAATAAAACAGCATTTAAATAAATAAATATAAAATACTAATAAATAAATCTAAATACTAGGTTTTTAAATAAATCTAAAATACTAATATCCTTTTCAAATTGCTTTTTTTCTCTCATAAAATATAATTCCCCTTCACATATTTTTTAAAACCATTCAAGTTAAAACAAAGAGGAGAAAATCAAATGACACATCATACGTTACCAAATAAAATATTTTTTGAATGGAGGTATTAGGTGGTTTCTGCTGGATGGTTTCAGAACAACTGGAAATTATTACATGGTTCCAAAACAATTGGATACCCTATAACCTAGGGCTACTCCATTGCTAACACTGAAGAAATGTATTAGAGTGAAAAACAGCACTAACTAAAAGCCCAAAAGACTTAACACAAATACCAACTCTGATATAAAATTAGTCACTAAATCTTCAGCAGGTTACAAGCCCTCTGGGTGTCGTTTTATGATACAAAAAAATGAGTTAAGGTTTTCATGATCCTTTCAAGAGAGGTACCATCTAAACATTCATAAAGAAGCATACTACTTTAAGTAGGGATATAACTAAACACTGAGTCTCAAAAGGTAAGAGCACTGACAGGTTAAGTCCTACTATCAGTTATCATTCAGCAACACCTGATCTCCTAGTGACATTGTTTGCCATAATCTATAAGAATAAGCATCTTATTCTTAATAGAATAAAATCTGAATTTTATTTGAATAAATTTGAATAAGTTCAAATAAGTATTTGAGAGCTAAAGTATCTTCAGAATATTTCAAAATTAACATTTTATTCTTCAAAATACATTTGCATTAAATGTTTAACTTCTACATGCAAATTGAAATTTAAAATTTTTAATATTAGAGCTGGCAAAGTAAGAGTATGCTGGGGTATTTTTGCAGACAATGTACTAATATGTCATTGTGTGTGTCTGTGTGCCTGTGTCTGTATGTAAACACCCTATGCCCCTATATTTCTCTGATGTTCTTACAGCTTAGTTTTTGCTGTTTTTGCCTGGCATCATATATACAGTCTGAGTTTTATTTAACTCTTACCCCTACAAAATTTCAATTGGTCCACAAAATATTTCAGGCTCCTTTTCATACACTGTGTTATACTTCTTAGGCAAAGTAACTAGATCAAATACGAATCAGAAATAAATAAAACAGCCGGGCGCAGTGGCTCACGCCTGTAATCCCAGCACTTTGGGAGGCCCAGGCGGGTGGATCACGAGGTCAAGAGATCGAGACCATCCTGGTCAACATGGTGAAACCCCGTCTCTACTAAAAATACAAAAAAAAAAAAAATTAGCTAGGCATGTTGGCGCGTGCCTTTAATCCCAGCTGCTTGGGAGGCTGAGGCAGGAGAATTGCCTGAACCCAGGAGGTGGAGGTTGCGATGAGCCGAGATCGCACCATTGCACTCCAGCCTGGGTAACAAGAGCGAAACTCCGTCTCAAATAAATAAATAAATAAATAAAACAGGGACAGAGAGAGATTTGTTTTACTCTTTCTCTCTCTCCCCCCTCCCTCTTTCATAACATACTTCTACTCACTCTCTCACTCTCATTCTTTCTCTCTCTCTCTCTCTCTCTCTCTCTCTCTCTCTCACACACACACACAAACACACACACACACTCTTCTACCACCACCAAAGCATGTAACCTGAGTTAGACATCAAGCTGAATGGTGGCTGAATCTAAAACACTTTCATGAATGACCTTAATATGAACTTATTTAAGGTTATCAAACTATTCAAAAACATATTTTAAAAACACTCTACATTTCCTGTAGTTACTGTACTTAAATGCAGTCTCTGTTTGCAATATTCTGAAGATTTCCCTGCATGAGGTCCTTTTTTCCTACTCATTTGTCCTAAAGAATTCATAGACTTTGTTGCTTCTGAAGTTTCACTTGCTATGGTTATTTCAACAATTTTTAAATATTCTATTTAAATATCATTAAATATAAGTGATTTTGCCTTTTCTTAAGGTCATGAATTTAATCCTTCAGTTAGTCAAGCATGCAATTATTGTTCCATCATACAGACAGTCAAAAACACTAATGCAAACAGAAAAAATTTAGGCATTCTATTTCAAGCAAGCAGGAAGCTCCATCAAATAGATGCTTTACTAATTAAAATAAACATCTGGCAAACAATCAACACTGTAAGATTGTACTATACCAAAACTATCAGGGGTCTCTGCTGAGGATACTTCCTTTGCACGTTTCACAATGGCAATCTCAGGTTTGGGATATCTGCATGCTAAAAATATTTTAAAATCAAAATATATTCACACAACAAAATAAATAAAATATATACACATTTTAAAATATATGTATAACTTAGAAGTGCCACATGCTAGTATACAGGCAGTCTTTGCTTTACACAGTAGGTGGGGCCATATAATTGATAAGTCAAGTTTAAACTGTACAAAGCAGTTTTAGTAACCAATGGGAAAAGTTGCAATTATTCTGTAACCTTTCAAATTTTTTTGTCAAAACATGAAAAACTCTCTCACAATAGGTATAAACATAAAGGACAATTCTGAAAATAGTAAAACTAGCCACACACACAGTGGCTCACGCCTATAATCCCAGCACTTTGGGAGGCCGAGGCAGGCGGATCATGAGGTCAGGCGTTCGATACCAACCTGGCCAAGACAGTAAAACCCCATCTCTACTAAAAATACAAAAAAGTAGCCAGGTGTGGTGGTAGGCACCTGTAATCCTAGTTACTCGGGAGACTGAGGCAGGAGAATCACTTGAACCTGGGAAGTGGAGGTTGCAGTGAGCTGAGATCACGCCACTGCACTCTACTCCAGTCTGGGCGACAGTGCAAGACTCCGTCTCAGAAAAACAAATAAACAAAAAAGAAAATAGTAAAACTGATGTTTACTTAGTATACTTTAATTTAAAACATTAGAAAGACTGATACAGTGTTTTGTTTTGTTTTTTTTTGAAAAAACAGGGGTAGTCTTCTGATATAACTTCTCATCATATAATATGCAGTGAGCATCTTTCCATACCTTGATAAATTGTCATACACTTTTCTAAGTCTGGATTAGTTTCTAACATTTTATTCTTTACATTTCCAATGTCATGATATATCTCCAAGGGTTCCTTTAATGTGAACTTTTTGCCAGGGTCAGTTCCCCTGAAACGGCTTCATCTTTTCACCACAACCTCCTCATTTTCTTTATTTATATTGATAAGTTCACCCTCCCTAGCCTCTTCTGGATGTATATCTGTAGTCTCTCAAATGGCAGCAGTTCAATAGCAGTATCAACATTCCCAAATCAGCGATTTCGTCTATACTCCATTTACACTTGATTGAAATTTCAGTTCAGCATTTTCACTTTTTGTTTCTTGGCTGCGATTTCATCTTGTTTGGTCAATTTCCTTTTGAATATCAATTTTGTAAAATATCACATAGGTTATCAGTGGGAGACAAGGAAGAAACATGCTTTGCTGTCTGTGTGTGAACTGAATGACAGATATACCAATCACCAACAGACTATAAAAAAAAGTGATGTGATTGGTCATGATCATGACGCACATATGTTTTTACGGAGCGATTTATGGACTGAGGAGCTAGCAGCAAAGTTTGTACTTTATACAATTACTGAAAGTTGTTATACTGTACTAAATTAATTTGAACTGAGTTGTTGGGGACTGATGTTATTTAACTGAAACATTGTTACTGAGATTTATGAATATGGAAATTATGTAAAGCAGGGACTGCCTATAATAATGAAAAATTTGCATAAATCCAGAAAAATAATAGGGCATTAAAATTTAACATACATTTACTGTTTTCTGCATATACAAATTAATGTAAAATCAAAGGAACAAGGTTCTCTTTCTTAGAAGTCAAATGTTTTCCACTTAAATTCCTTGACTTTACTATCATTCAACTATAAAAGAGTAGTTGATTTATAATAAAGCAGAGTCCAATGATCAAATTTTGTATTTAAAAACAAAAAAACCCCTTCACCATAAATCAACTAGTAGGTTTTTTTGGTATCTGCCTTTGCATTTGTCACTTAAAAAAAAAAAACTTCTTAAAGGCTACTAAAGGGAAAAAAAATTACAGAAAATAGCCCCTGATCGCAAAGTGTGACATGGAGTCAGTAGGATATACAAGCCAACATGAGATGATTACAGAACAAAAAAATACAGCGTAAGTTTCCAGAAAGGAGAAATCATTTCCGTAAGAAGTGGGAGACAGATTCCAAGAAGATGAAGAACTTGGCCTTAAAGTACTGCAGAATTTAAGTAAGTGAGGGGAGGTGGGATTTCTCTTCTCTTTCCTATAAAGTTCTGTCCAAAAGCCATGAGGAAGAAATGAGTGAGATAGCATCTGTGTAGGAGGCAGCGGAAGCCACAGTAGCCTAGAACAGGGTTTTAGAGCTCAAGCAGCATGAGGTGTATCCACAAAGGGAGGTCAGTCTGGTACAAGGTGTCAGAAACCAGTTGGGCCAGGTGCAGTGGCTCACGCTCATTTTGGGAGGCTGAGGCAGGCACATCACTTGAGGTCAGGAGTTTGAGACCAGCCTGACCAACACAGTGAAACCCCATTTCTACTGAAAATACAAAAATTCGCCGGGCATGGTACGTGGTAGCACAAGCCTGTACTCTCAGCTACTGGGGAGGGTGAGGCAGGAGAGTTGTTTGAACCCAAGGGGCAGAGGTTGCAGTGAGCAGAGATCATGCCATTACACTCAAGCCTAGGCAACAGAGGGAGGCTCTGTCTCAAAAAAAAAAAAAAAAAAAAGGAACCCAGTTGGTTGAGAAAGGCTTCCACATGGTAAGGGGAAGGGGTTGTGGCTCAGGGTGTCAGTGCCCAAATTAATGTGAGGAGGGTTATCTGTATAGGAATATGCAGGCAGTAGCAGTGATGAGATTTTGGTGACAGTAGTGGTCAAAAATTAATAAATATATTAAAAACAATAGGAGCTAGGAATTTCTCCATCATAGAATGGAGTTATAAATACAGAAAGTGAGAAAGCTAGAACATTCCCTGTGGTATTAAATTGGTATTGAAGAAATTATAATGAATCTTTATTTTATAATATATAGAGATATACAGAACTATAAATAATACAGATTATGTATATAAATACATATATTCATTTATTTACTAGCACCGTCTACTCTTAGGGCAACACCCTAATAGTTATGAGCACGTCTAATGCCCAGATCCTGGCTTCTCAATACGATTCTACACTGAAAGAAACCAGAGTTTCTTGTAAAATGGCTGATTCTAGGGCTAGAGCAGGAAAAGTGGATTATTCAAGCCAAGAATTATTCAAGGAGTAATAGAGACAGGTCAAAAAGACACAGAAACCAGCTTGTAAGGGTTCCTATTGGCCAAATATGGGGTAGCTGGAAAATCAAAAATGGTAGTAACAAATTATAACCCATTGAATAGAAAACCATTAGTATATATTGATATAAATTGTTAAAGTGAATGATGAGAAATGGGATATTTCATAGACTCAAAATATCGCTTCGCAAAAGACTTATTAGTTATAAAAAGGAAAATAGTAACTTTTGAATGGATAAGTCAGATAGATACCATGTTAGTCAAATGTCCAAAGTTAATATCACCAAGGATAAATTGAAATCATGGGCCACATGATAGGATGAAAAAGATTATAACATTGATTCTGTGATATTCCTGTTAAAGATGCATAACTGAAATATATTCATAAAGAAAGAGAGAAACCCAAATTGGTTTCTCTCAAAGACATGTTACAAAATACCCAAAGACAAGCTACAAAAAAAACTGGTCTATAATCCCCAAAAGTGTCAAGGTCAATGCAATTCAAGGGGAAGACTAAGGAACTGTTCCAGATGGATGGAAATTAAAAATAGGTAAAAACTAAATCAGAACTAAATGTATAGTTCTAATCTGAATCTTTTTGCTCTAAAGAATGACTGAGATAATGGTGGAACTTGAATGACATCAGAGTACTAGAAGGTAGTACTCTTTTTTTTTTTGTTCAGTGATAGTTTATTGGTCCTTAGCATGCATGACATCTCAATTACCAAGGTAAATTCACATACACAACTGCAGGTAAAAACATGTTAAATAATATAAAAATAAACTGAAGGCTACTTTTATATATTTACTGAATTAAGTAGTGTAATAAATACTATCATAAGCAAAAAGCTTCAATCACACAATTCGGTTTCACTGAAGTTACAGTAGTGTTTGTAAATACGAGTTTTAAAATTTAAGTTACAAATATTAAAGCACTGAAAAACTAGCATAAAAGTGAATTTTGGCATGTAAGTGAGCTCTTATGTCATTAGTATTTGACACCCTGGGACAATGAGGAAACCAGCTCTCACCTACTTTTTGAGGTACAACTATCCAACTAGGTCAGCAGCACAGCTGGAATACATAGTTTACAATCTTTGAATTGAACTTTTCCCTTTTGAGAAGCCCAAAGAGCAACCCAGAGCTTATTACTGTGCAAAAATTCTCCAAAATCCTAATAGAATTTAGGAGGGAACTTTTTCTTGTGACCTGAGAGGCCCAGTGTCCAGGCCTCAGGTCAGAGAGTCCCCAGGGCTCAGAGGGGACAGCTCAACTCCTCGCCAATGGCCCTTCCCTAGGATAATAATCCCATTTTCTCCAATTTCTGTCTCCTCCTTCCAATCGAAAACAGAAAAATCCCATGTCAAAACATAAAATAACCCATAACTTCAGCGGCTTCAACAGTATCCCACGCACTGTGGGTGATATAAACTGAAGCTGCTAACAGGAAAGTTGGCAAGAAGCATGTTAAGCCCCTGGAGGACTGCCTGTCCCTAGGAACCCTGGGTCCCTGGATCCACTTGTATGGTCAAAAGCAGTGTCATGGCTCTTCCTCTGGAGACAGTGGAAGACCCTGCTCTCCCCAACCTGGAACACTGCCTGGATGAATCAAGTGGATATTGAACTTCACAGAACCAAGAGGCCCAGCAGGTTCCAGCATTTGCCGGGAGAGAGGAGGCATCTCCAGGCCTCAGTCCTCAAAGAGCTTACACGGTGCACCGCTGGTGTGCTTATCACTGGGGCAGAGTAACTGGCCCCAGGAATGCCCTTTCGCCAGCTGCCCCTTCACGTTCCCGAGTAGGCTGAGGACCATCGACAGAGGCCTCAGCCAGTTTTGCCTTTTTCGCTTTGATGCTTCTTAACATTTTGACTTTTTTCAATCACAGTTTCATATTCAAGTTGAGGTAATCAGTTTTTTCTCTAAGAGGAGAGGAGCT